TTGTATTGTTCGATACACATGCGTACCGAACCGAAAGCACTGTATCGAACGGTTCAATGTCGATACGAGTATCGTTAGGGGTGTAACGATGCAGTGGTGTGCAGTGGTAAGGCAGCCCTGGATTGTCAACATAAGACTTTCACTTCATGTAGCTCAGGGTTTTGTGTTGAGACCACACTGAGAAGTGGACTATACGTAGGTTAAAACTATATTTCTATCATCTGTCTAATGTTTATTTAATATGGATGAACTTCTGATGCCTTTCACCTAAAAAATATTTGTACAAAATTTCAAGTTAGTTGTGATTTTGGGCGGCTCACATGAAAAATCGACTATATTTTGTTGTGAGTTGCCTAATTTTGGAGATATCCGCAGTAAAGATATCCTAATACATCTGAAAAAATCTACAGCAGAATGTCTTTATAGAAACCAAAATCTACAAATCTGTTTGTGAGCTCTTTGGACTGTTTTTTTTCCCTGTCTGAATCCACCAACCCAAAGGAGCATTAGCAGGAAGCTAATGCTACAGCTCAGTTTTCATGGAGTCAGACGGATGCTTTCTTGTGTTCAGTGATGTTCACTAAGAGATAAAATAGTTTTCACTCCAAAAAATCTAGATGAATAACTAGCGCTACGTGCAAAAAAAGTATATGTACCATCAAGATTTCTGATGATTTCCCGGTATTGTTACATATATCTCAGATTTTGGACTAAGCTAAAAGCCTTTACTTAGAGTGTGACTGTTGCACTGGGAACTACTGTAAATGAATGCAACAAAGATCACGGAAGTTACAGTAAAACCAGGACTGGCCAGAACCTCAGCAAGCAAGCAATATTGATTTTTAGCACATTTCCCAGACAGGACTCTTTGCAGAAAATAAAATCTCAAACAAAATTTTTGAATATCGTACATTTAAGAAGAATCTTACTTGTGTTACTGTGTTAAATTCTTTTTCTCCCATATTTTTTTTATCAAAACATAATGTCCCCAAGAGAAAAGACGGCTTTCCCTCAGGTCTTACCCTGGCTCCTAATAATCCCGGGGGCCCATCGGGTCCTGTTTCTCCTCGTCCACCCTAAAACACAGAAGAGCTATGGTCACATCTGGAAATACAGACAGAAGTGAGTCAAAATAAAAAGACATTTTCATGCAGTTTGGTAACTTGTCATGTTTGATATACTGTATGTGATGATATTTTTAGGTCAACTGTCCTGTAGCTATTACAGGGAATCTTTTATATCCTTATCGTTTACAGCTCATTATTTTTATAGTTGAACGAGTCACCGTATATAAACATCCTTATTTATCATATATCCCAGTCAATCCTCTGGGTTTGACTGGGATATTTGATTTTTTTCTAATTTGCTGGCTCTCCTAAAGGTTGTGTGTCTGAGATGACTTCATTAGGAATATGCTCTCACTTAAATTTGAAGCCTGAGCTTTTGGCTAACAGATGGTACACTCTCCTTCTGATTATAAATCTATAAATGCATTTCTTCTCTACACGACTGTTTGCTCTCAATTTCTCTTTCAATAAATATCGTTTAATCAAGTTTGAGGCAGCGGACTTTGCATCTGTTTGTGTATGTTCTGAATGGAGACCAGCATAGGTGCACTGTTTTCCCTCTCATCTCATTTATCATCCTGCTGAAGTTACTGTTAAGATAAGATAAGATAAGATAAGATAAGATAACCTTTATTAGTCCCACAGGTGGGAAATTTGTTTTGTCACAGCAGAAAGTGGACAGTGCGAATGTTATATAGCAAAAATTTGAATACAATACGAAGGATATACTGTGCACAACTGTACACAATAGAATAGAATGAAATAAAATACTATATACAGTAGAATAAAATAGAATAAAATATACAATAGGATAAAAATAGAATACAAAT